TTCGATTTGCATTTGTTGAGCCATATTTTTCAACGCTGTTGACCGCATTTCTTTATTGCGGTAATTTAGGGATTTAATATCCCAAAGGAACTCGTTTTCGCCATATAATTGCACCAATTTTAAGGTTTCGTCTTCACTAAGCTTCATTTTTATCGCCAGCGAAAAAAACGTGGTCACTCTACAACGCAGCGGCAGTGACTAACCACGCACTGACTTGTCTGTTTACACGGGGTTTATTTGGCTGGCGCGGGAGTGCGCGGGTGGCGGGGGGCGCCAACTGACTTTAAAATATTCGTGTCCGAATATTCAAGTCAGCGCTGACTTCAAGCCACTGTACTGAATTCAAATCAGTTTACACAGGGTTTTTTTCCGGTCAGCACTGACTTGCCTCGAATTTGTAGTCAGTGTGTGTCTGACCCTGTGTAAATCAGCTCTTAAACTACTGATAAGTAGAAATATCAAGGATTTCTACTTATCAGTAACGCCATCCCACTATAGGCAGAATTTTCGTAAATTAATTTTATACCATGTTGGTATAAGTCTGATCTATTACTTTAACTATCATTGTTAGTAGTAGGTTATTAAATACACAACAAATAATAACGTATAACAGTCAGGGTATTTAAAGGTCTTATATTAATATTCAATTAATAAAAAAAACAAACAAAGGGAGTTAATAAGTTAGCGCAACCCAAAATTGATTTTATCTCTAAAATATTTGAAATTTCACTTTCCATTTCTTGGAAATAGATGGCGTTAGTATTGTGATGAGCTAAAATTACAAATATGAAATTAATGTCTGTCGCTGACTGATGACCAACAGTCAAAATGTCGAGTTTGATTATGTTTGCAGATGCATAAAATGATTTAAAACAAGTGAACTTAGCGATATTTATGTCCTGGTCGTAGGAATCCTATTAAGCTCACCGCACTAGCACTACCACACAACATAGCTGTTTTTTTCCTGTCGGGTTAGTTGTGAAAGAATTTGCTATGGTGTAAAAATCTACTAAGTTTGCCTCAAATTGTTTGTATGGGAAAACAGGGTTTTTTAGTTTTTTTTAGTAAATACTTATTAGTATAAATTTATAAAACCTCCAATCTGAAAATGACCCCTTATAATGAATTCAGTGTCTTCTTGAAATCATTTATCTAATAAAAGAACAAATTCATAAGCAATACGTACGCATTCGTATCTTGTTTTATTTTGTAATGTAGTCAAATTAATCTTATTATCATTTTTTCTTGATAATCAATTTTACATATTTTCGTTGTCATAAATAATTAGTAATTTTGTTTAAAACAGTGTTGGGTAAAACCTTGAATATTAATTGAACAAAAGAATATTCGTTATTATTTAGTTTCGACTTATAGAAACTGTCAGTAAACTTACCAGTTATGTCACCAAAATATTATAGACTGAACAAGTGAACAGATGAATTTGGAACTCACTTTTCCAATAATAGGCGCGGGGGGGTTTAGCAATGCATAAAAGAATTTTGTGCATAGTTCAAAATCTTTTATAATAGTATAACCTATCATAACAAATGAGTCAATCTACTTTGTGTTGTATTTTATGTGTGGAAATTATGATTTATCCAGTTGCATACATACTATTGCGATGTTTCTTTTCCAACAAAAGCGTTACAGAAAGCATATACTTGCGTCACTTGTCAATGAGAATAAAGACAAATAAAGATTATGGTGACCAAATGGCTTGACCTGAATTTTAAGAAACACAGGATATGCAGATATGCAGATTATTGAAGAGATTTCTTGAACTCGTTCCCCTACCGACTCAAATCAAACTGCAGTCGTAGAAACGAGTGTCAAATGATTACTTTAATATTTATTTTCCGGATGGGATGTCGTTGGTCCCGTGAGGAAACCGTCTTGCATTAGACCCATGAAGTCGACGGCGTGTGTCAGGCACAGGAGGCTGATCACCTACTTGCCTATTAGATTAACAAATGATCATGAAACAGATACAGAAATCTGAGGCCCAGACCTGAAATGGTTATAATATGTTCTTTTTAATCCTAAAACTACTAGTTACTTAAACATTTTATGTTCCTCTCTGGTGGTAGTTTTGACTTGCGTTCCTTAGACAATCTAATTCTTGAAACTCCTATTCATAAAACTGAATTTTATCACTCCTCCTTTACTGTGCAAAGTATACTGCTATGGAATTCCCTACCAATTGATATTAGACGAGCTCAGTCCTTAAATTTATTTAAAGAGCTTCTTTTTGATCATTTTCTTTCTGCCTCGTAATAAGCTCTGCTTATATGTATTTTTGTTATTTTATCTTTAGATTTTACTTTATTTTATTTAAGTTACAGTAACGTGTTATTTTGAGATTTTTTTTTTAATTAATAATTTTACTGGTACTCTACCCTCTGTAGGTGTTTCTTTTTCATTGTTCCACTTTACGGTTGCCTGGAAGAAATCGCTTGTTAGCGATAAGGCCGCCCGTTTCCTTATAACTTTTGTAACCTGCTTTTTATTTTTGTTGTGTATATTTTTGATTACGGTAATAAAGTACAAATAAATAAATAACGCCGCTGTTTTTTTTATTTTACCTTGAACAACAGAAACTAATTTCTACAATATTGAAAGGGGTTTGATTATATTAAACTAAATGGTTTCGAGACCACCAAACTTTTAGGAATTACTTGAAATAAACTTTAGAATCTCCTAATGTATTTCAATAATAACAATGGTACGACGATAATATAACAATAATAATAATAAATTTAGATAAGATTTTATAGAAATAAACCAAAATGTTACTGCACTTATGTTATTACACATTATCGGAAATGAGAATGTTAAATTACCTACAATTTATGAGAGTGTGTGTAGTAGTATGGTGGGGCCCACATTGGCTTCAAGTGTGCGATGGTTGTTTGCGCTTCTAATTAATAACTAAAATATAAATATGTAACTTTAAACATGAGCTATTCGGGGCATGCTTGCCGTCTGCTGGCACAGGCTTGCTCAGATCGATCTGGTTCTTTCTTCCAAAGACCAGTCCAGTAAATACTCTGCATTTGTTTACACCAATTTATTAATTAATTATTGTATTATCTGGACTATAAAAGAGACTAAGACCCCGGAGTTTGTTTCGACATTTCTTCTCAGGGCAGTCAGTTAGGAAATGTCGACTTCATCTAGTTTTGGATGACATTGTAAAAGTGATTTATATAGTCCTACTTGCAAGAATAAACTATTTCATTTCATTTCATTTCAATGTTAGGTAACACAACCTGAGCCAAGACAAACGGATCAATTAATTAGTTATTAAATATTATAAATTGAATTGTAAATTGTTTTTAAATTAAAACTAGACACATAATTACAATGTCAATCAGCAATATTAATTACAAGCCGAACCATAAATTATTTTGATAACATTATAAAATTTAATTAAAAATAAATTAATTATCTTTCTTATTTAAAATTTATGATAATCGATCAATTTGAATATAATGATAACAATATGGGGTCTAAACGGGGGTCATATTATTTTTGCCCTCATTAGGGCTATGATGATATCTTAGTAGATAAACATACAATCAAAATACTGTATAACCATGGATTAACAAAAAAAATAATGCTGCTTCAACCCTCAGATTTCTGTATCAAAGTAGTTAGCCTTCTATGCCTGACACACGCCGTCGACTTTTTGTGGAAAAGGCACGCCCATCTCTTTACGGCGTATTCCTTCACCGTACAGAAATAATGCTCCATTGGTGCAAACCGGGTCTTGAACCTACACCCTCATGGATATGACGCAAGCTTAAGCCACTTACCCTGCTTGTGCATTAAGTGTATACTAAATGTATAATGTTTCTGATAGCATATTATAACAAAAGTAATTAAAATCGTTGTTTGTAATTATTCCTAGAAGGATATCAGAGTCACTCATGGCCATGTGTAATATCCTTACTTAAATAATACCTTTTCAGAATCCCTATTAAATGCGCAAAAAGTTGGAATACACGGTCACTTTTCGGTAGAGTATTTTTTTTTCACAGTGGGGTCCGAAGTAAACAAAAACTTATGATTTGAGAAATTTTTATATCGTATATCGTATATATCGTAAACACTCAATAAACAACTATAAATAGCATGCTTAACGCAAGGACTTATCAGTACCAATCTAGTGGATATTATGAAAAAGATACAGGATGTAGATATTTTCGAATTTTAATAAGAGTTAGTAAAAAATATCAGCAATAAAGGCTTAATAATAATAATTATTGCATGCATAATGCATTTCTCCGTCGCAGCACAATTTTCTTCAAGTTGGTTTATACAAATCTCTTGTCATTGACTGACGTGGTGTCATGAGAAATTGGTTAGCGGTGTCTGGTAGATGAAGAATATTTGGATTTTCGCAAAGCGTTTGATCTGATTAAACGGTAAACTACACATTCTTCTCCAAAAGTTGGCTGCCATTGCAAATGGACTTGCTCTGTTTAGTTTTATTCTAGTTATATATGGACAATATATCTCGAAGCTATATCCAACAAGTTGGTGCTAGCCCATTGCTGTTTTCGATTATGATTAATGACCTTCCAAGCGTTATTTAATCTACCAAAATTCTCTTATTTGCCGACGATGTTAAGGTTTTGAAGGTTATTAAGGCAAACAATGACTATATACTGCTCAAAACAATTAGCAGAACAAGATTTTTCTCCTTTCTATTGCTTAAACTAAAATTAGATTTAAATTAACTTGTACGCTATTTTTTACCTTGTTAATTTGTTAATTACTACAATTAATAAAAAATTCAATTTGTATTTTTTTTATTAAAAAAAAATTAAAATGTGCTTTGTAGACGAAAAACAAAGTGACGTCTTTGAATTTTCATTACTTTCTAATCACAGAAAACACATTTTAAGTAGTTTTTTTCAATCTTTTGAGTATTAATAGAAATTGAAGTGAGCCTTTTGAGTATTGTTATTCATTGAAGCGAGTGAGTTTAGGTCATAATGCCAGATCTGACTGAATTGCATGTCTCCCGAGCTATCGCTTTGCTTGAAGAGGGTCGAACTATGCGTTATGTAGGAAATGATCTAGGAGTAGCCCCTTCTGTTATCTACAGACTTTGGAAGCGATACCGTGAGACGGGAGAATACTCACAAGGCGTGGTCAAGGTCGAAAGAGAAAAACTACACGTTTGCAAGATCGCTACATCGTCAACTGTGCTTTACGTAACCGCACCACAACTGAGATCTACAAAATACACTAAGGACGGCTACTGGTGTAGAAATTTCCGACCAGACGGTAAGAAATAGGTTGTTGGAAGCCAATTTCAGATCACGCCGACCAGTTCGGGCTGTGCGTCTAACAATTATTCAACATAGACAAGCTCGCCGACAGTTCGCGCAAAATCACGCTAATTGGCAACTTCGACATTGGAGGCCAGTGCTTTTTACTGACGAATCACGATTCCGTCTAACACGTTGCGATGGTCGTCTCCGTGTTTACAGACGCCCAGGCGAGCGATACAGTGCAGCAGCAGTCCAGGAATATGACAAATTTGGATGTGGCTCTGTGATGGTTTGGGGCGGAGTTAGTTTGGACGAGCGCACAGATCTCGTCGTTGTTCCCGGGCGCTTGTGTGCTCAAACTTACATTGAAAATGTGCTCGAAGATCATGTTTGGCCCGCAGCATATGGTATGGGCCCAGATTTTCTTTTAATGCAAGATAATGCCAGGCCGCATACTGCAGCCATCACGTCAGATTACTTACGACAGCAGGAAATCCGTGTAATGGAGTGGCCTTCCATGAGCCCTGACCTAAATCAAATCGAACACATTTGGATTTGCTTGACAGGCGCATCCGGAAGCGTCCGATTGCACCTCAAACACTGCAGCAGCTCACTGAAGCGTTGATTGAAGAATGGGAGCGAATTCCACAAGAAGATATTCGGAGGATCATACGAAGCATGCCGCGTCGTTGTCAAGCCGTGATTAGGGCTCATGGAGGCCACACACGTTACTGAAAGTCACTAAAGACGAATATTCAAACGATATAACAATATTTCTTTGATGGACCTTTTTTATCACCAATTAGTTTTTCGTCTACAATGCACATTTTAATTTTTTTTTAATAAAAAAAATACAAATTGATTTTTTTTATTAATTGTAGTAATTAACAAATTAACAAGGTAAAAAATAGCGTACAAGTTAATTTAAATCTAATTTTAGTTTAAGCAATAGAAAGGAGAAAAATCTTGTTCCGCTAATTGTTTTGAGCAGTATATATATATATATATATATATGCAATTGGATTCAAATGAAATACTCTACGACTATGCCTAAAATAGACACTAAAGTTCAATTCTCGAAACTAGCTACCTTTGTCGCTCCCCTCTTCTTTCTCTCCCCTCCCCCCTTTGAAGGCACTCTCCTTAAAGCCTCAGCTTACATCGGAATACTGAGCGTTGACATACCGAATGACGTAGCAAGTGTTAATTTGCCCATAGAACGAAAAAACCACTTCATCTTTGTGAGTGCGTGGAAAATCTTAAAAGGATAGGCAGTAGCTCGTATTATACCAGTCTACTTACATTACATGCGCCTTCTGATTCTCTATTCAATGTGCACATTTGGGTTTTATCAATAGGCGTAAGACGTCACTCGTCTGTGCCAGTTTCTCTGAGCATCGCCTATTACTCATTACCGTTACAGTTAACACTTGAAGATTGTCCGGTACTGTTCTTTGGTTCTGAAAAATATCGTTTTCACGATAAAACCTTTTGGTTCATGATTTTTTTGCGGTATTTTGCTTACATAGAAAAATGTGATTGGAAAAGGTTTTCTCATAAGTGCTCAGCCGGGGTTCAACCGCTCGACGTAAAGCCAATTAAAATACTGACTGACGTGGCGTATGTGTTTCATCCAACCATGAAAAAAAAAATATATTTAGCCTTGGTAAGAATATATTTGCTAAGTATATAAATATTATAAATTTTTGTATATAAGACAAATTGTAAAAAACATATAAACAAAATAGGTTATGAATATTAAAAACAAAAATATAATAACAACTTTCTTTAATAAACACAACTTTTCGTAAATGATATTTTAAACAAATATGTTTATGTTATAGGGTGGGGATTCACAGATGTAAGTATATGTACTTACATCTGTGAATCCCCACCCTGTCAATACACACCTCGATCCAGGTCTAATATTAGGTCTCGAAGCTAACCTTATCGGTTTTACCCTATCATTGAAGTTAAATTCTTCTTTTATTTGACACAGTGATATATCATTCTGGAGACGCTCAGCTACAAAATTCTCGTGAATTATAATTTTATTTATCTCATAATGATCTCCTCCAGATGAAAGTTTGTTTGTTCCTACCACTGCGGCTATCTGGTCTGCTTCAAGGCTGCAATTATAAAGATATTAAAGGCCTACCTTTATCAATGTTCGGAAAAAATTGTATACTATTAAAATTTGGTTTAATGTGCGTGGAAGAGTAAATATTTACAAGCATCTCAATAACACTGGAATTTAAAAAAAAAACTTAATTTGTAGAAATAGAAAAAAAATAGAAATGCAGCGATATATTATTGTATCAGAAAATTTCTCGTTTCATAAAACGGAAAATTACATTAAAACAAAACCCGCCGGGTCATATTTTAATTTTTATCATTAGAGGCGATTTTTGACTTTGTTGGATCTTTAATTAAAAATTTTTATTATTTGACAACATTTAACGTATAACGTAGATTAGGGAATAAGTAATTGGTAATAAAACAGAAAATAAGTTCTCAATGGAGATAACTAATGCAAGAATATATTTTGTCCTATGCCTAAGTACTCATTGGTGCAATGTGCGGCGGTGAGAATCCAATGAAATGAAATGAAATGAAATGAAAATTTTTTTTTGGGCCATTTTAACCCCCCCCCCCCCCCCCCCCCCCCCCCCAAGGGGGGGGCCCTCCCCCCCCCCCCGCCCCCCGGGGGGAAAAGCGGCCAAACCCCCGGGGGTTTTTTTTCTTTTTTTTCCCCCCCTTTTTCTTTTTTTTTTTTTTTTTTTGTGTTTTTAATTTTGGGGGTTTTTGTGGGGGGGGGGGGGGGGGGGGCCCCCCCCCCCCCGCCCCCCCCCCCCCCCCGCCCGCCCCCCCCCCCCCCCCCCCCCCCCCCCCCCCCCCCCCCCCTCCCGGCGGCCCCCCCCCCCCCCCCCCCCCCCCCCCCCCCCCCCCCCCCCCCCTTTGCGGGGCCCCCCCCCCCCCCCCCCCCCCCCCCCCCCCCCCCCCCCCCTCTTTTTTTTTTTTTTTTTTTTCCCTTTTTTTTTTTTTTTTCCCCCCCCCCCCCTTTTTTTTTTTTTTTTCCCACCATCAATTTTCGCTTATAATAGAGCCCGCACAGAAGTGATCTTCAGATCCGTCGGCACTCCTTAAAGACACTTGGTATGGAGCCAACGAGTCGGAAGCATCTTTACCGCCTATAATTCTCGATTCATGCGCGTCACCTGTGGAAATTGTTTTCAAAATTTTGGAAATCCATTTTGAAGTATCAAAACGGTATATGTCTTATGTAATTAATATTCATAATTATCTTCTATAGAGCAGTGTTGGCCTAGTGGCTGCAGTGGGCGACTCACATCCTTGAGGTTGTAGATTCGATCCCCGGCTGTGCACTAATGAACTTTTTGTGTGCGCATTTAACTTTCGCTCGAACAGTGAAGGAAAACATCGCGAAGAAACCGACTTGGCTTGGACCCAAAAAGTCGACGGCGTGTGTCAGGCATAGGAGGCTGATCACCTACATGCCTATTAGATTGACAAATGATCATGAAACAGATACAGAATCCTGAGGCCAAGACCCAAAAAAGGTTGCAGTGCCACTCATTTATTTTATTTATTTATTTTTTTCAGTAAGAACTAATGAATATATTATAATTCCAATATACAAATTTACAATTATCTTAACCTACATAGTAGTAATAATTGAAAATTAATAAATTAAAAAATTAAAAAGTTTGGTCCCTGTGGCAGTGTACCTTGAACGCTGACACGTCCTCGCTGTGTTGCGATACTTATTCGTTAAGCGAATTTATTAATTATTTTCTATGCTTAGCAACATCAAAATATGGCGGATACAGAGTTCCTAAGTTCAATTCCCGGAATCATTTTTATTTAGGTTTGTTGGCACAGTCTATATATATAGGCAGATACTTTTTTAATAAATAATGAATCGAGTAAATATCTGTCTTATACAAAGTGGCTTAAAATGAATACTACAATTATTATTTCTAGATTAAAACATCAACAAAGTTACATAGATACCTTGAACAATCCGTGATATGAAAAACAATTTTACAATATTCAAAAACATTATTATATAATTTCAATATATAAGTTTCAATCGCCAATATGTAACACCCGATGCAATACTTTTGAGAAAGATGACATTCAGAATGCAATCATATTTATACTGATATGTCTATTATATGTTATTTCCTTCTTCAAAGATCAATTGCTAGCACAATTCGCGTGCAATACTCACAATTATGTGAAAAGGGATATTGTGAGAAGAATATATTTATTAATTTATATTTATACTTCGTCACAATAAAAGAAAAACAAATAACATAAAAATTATAAGGCATGCAACGGGCGGCCTTATCGCTAACAAGCGATCCTTTCCAGGTAACCCTACAAATGAAAAAGCTAAAAAAGAATTATTAATATCTTAGATATGTCTGTTAACCTATTAACAAACATAATACATACAAAAGTCGGGATTCGAACGCACGTAGCCATGATTGTGCGTCGCGTGCCTACTTTAGTACGCAACAGGATAACACTCCTAAGAGAATAGTTACAAATTTTATCATATTATTTTCAAGATAAGTAAATACCTACTATACGTAGTGTAAAAATTAGGTCCTTACATATGAAATTGGCATATTTCGTACTGGCCACTTTAATGACGATGTTCTCCTCTTTGGTAAGGAATTCCAAATTCAAATTTGTACAGCTATTTACCGTCATTCATTTGTTTTTTTCTTCTGTTTTTTTCTGTTTGCGTCACTCATTTTACAAAATGGAAAACTTAAAGTATCGCATTATTTACGAGTACGAGTTCCGCCGTGGCACTAGTGCTGCGGAAACGACTCGAAGGGTGAATGGTGTGTATGGCGGTCATGTTGCAAAAGAAAACACAGTTCGTTTTTGGTTCCAACGTTTTCGTTCTGGAAATTTCGACCTGCAGAACAAGCCCCGTGGACGGCCTGAGACCCAAGTTGATAATGAAGTATTGAAGGCTATTGTGGAAGCGGATCCATCGCAAACCACGTCCGAGTTTGCTGCAGGCTGCGGTGTTAGTGATAAAACTGTTTTAATTCACTTGAAGGAAATTGGGAAGATTAAAAAGCTTGAAAGATGGGTACATCACGAATTGACTGAAGGAAACCGGCAAACGCGCGTCGACTGCTGCGTTACATTACTGAACCGGCACAATAATGAAGGTATTTTAAACCGAATCATTACCTGTGATGAAAAATGGATTCTTTACGATAATCGGAAGTGCTCAGCGCAATGGTTGGATCCTGGCCAGCCAGCCAAATCCTGCCCCAAGCGAAAATTAACCCCAAAAAAGTTACTTGTAAGCGTTTGGTGGACTAGTGCCGGTATTGTTCATTGCAGTTTTCTCAAATCTGGCCAGACTATTACGGCTGATGTCTATTGTCAGCAATTGCAAACCATGATGGAAAAGTAAGCGGCTAAACAACCTAGGCTGGTCAATCGCTCCACGCCACTGCTACTTCACGACAACGCTAGACCACACACTGCACAACAGACGGCTACCAAATTAGAAGAGCTTCAATTGGAATGTCTAAGACATCCTCCGTACGGGGAGTACGGACCTTGCTCCAACAGATTACCATTTTTTTCGAAATTTGGACAACTTCTTGCAAGGGAAAAAATTTAACTGATGGGGCAGTCCAAATCGCCTTCACAGATTTTATTGATTCCCGTCCGACTGTTTTTTTTTAGTAAAGGGATCAATGAACTACCTATGAGATGGCAAAAGTGCATAGAAAACAATGGTTCATACTTTGATTAATTAAATATATTATATTTAAAAATATTCGACTTTTTGTTCCTCCCATACTAAACACCAATTTCATATGTAAGGACCTAATATATGTATATATGCATGTCAAATAATAAATGTAGCTACTCCAAACACAATAAGAACTGAATTGAACATTGTTTTGAGTTAATTTCCATGATAAAGATATGTCTTGATGACACACAACGTGAGTACATTGTTAATCGGCCGATTCGTGAAATGAACCAAACAATACCTGATATAAATATCTAGTCTTGTTTACTAGCCATTTGCCTACCATATCCATCATGAGGTCTCAGTTCAAATCCCGGATAAGGCCAAAAAGCTATACGTCAAATATGAGTAAAAACCTCTAAACGCTATTTAACACCTCCAAAAATTAAGTAAAGCTGGAGGTATTTGTCAAAGTCGGAAACACATGAAAACTGATTAGTAATATCTAGACAATATTATTGCTTTTAATATTAATGTAACCTGGTCACTTAGTAAACAAATTGTTTCAGCTACTAAACATACAACTTTAATGAGTTCATTTTAAGACTTTCTAACTTAGATGATCATTAATTGAAAACAACTGTGGATAATATTCCAGTAAAAATACGGAAATAATGTTTATTTTGAATTTAAAAAGCTCGTTTAATGTTGAATAAAGCGAGATAGACTTGCTATGCGTTATCTATACCAGCGTTCCGCTAAAAAGGTAATTAGCGTTTTTCTCGCAATGTATTCGATAAAAACAAAAACACAAATATATGTCTAAGGTGTTTGTATATAAAAAGGGATTTTTTACATACATGCATTTCTACTTTCAGATAAAAGAGCGACGACGTACTCTCAATAAAAATAAAATAAATCAATGGCGCCTTTTGAGGTTGAGGCTAGTAGGTGATCAGCCTAGTATGCCTGACCCACGCTGTCGACTTTTTGGGTCTAGAGCAAGTTCACCGTTCTGTTAAATGGTTCTGTTAAGCGAATGTTAAATGCGCACATAGAAAAAAGCCCATTGGTGCACAGTCGGGGTTCGATCCTACGACTTCAGTGATAAGATTCGCACGCTGAAGCCACAAGGCCAACACTGCCGCTGTAACTCTCAATAGAAATTCCAATAATGAAGTTAATAGTTAATAATAATTGCCGACCTTGGATTTTCACAATAATTAAAGACACGTGCCGACATCAATTTGCATATGATATGAATAAAATAATAGCTTTTTTCAACCTTTTAATTACATATTCTTAATTATCCTTAGCTAACTTGACGAATATACAATTATTGTATTTTTCAAAATCTATATTTTTATTTGTTTTTGTATTTTAAAACAACATTTGTTGTTTAACGAACAGTTTATTTAATTAAAATAAAATTGACTACTTACATATTTTCCTAATCTCCGTTCGGGCCGTTTTTCAAACGTCAATCTATGACAATTGTTAAGCCGAGCGGGAAATTCAAATTATAAATTAAATTTCATTACATAAAAAGTGGTAAAGCCGTTCCTAATCATTTATGTTACCTGTTTTTCCATGTACTATTAATGCAACGAAGTGTTAA